GTTATTTAGAAAGTTTAAGGGAGAAAATGCTGAAAATAAAGAAAATGAAAAGTGTCGGAAAAAAATTGAGAAAAAAAATTAGAAAATTAGAAAAGCGGGTGTATGAGTAGAAGACGCACAAAATGCCTTAATTAAGTCCCAAACATTTATTTATAGAAATTCGACTTTTGATAAGAGATTATTAAGCTAGTTAAGTTTTAGAAATTGAAGCAATCAAATTTGATAAATAATCCTTGTTTATTGACACATGGAACTACAATTGGTGATATTTACATAAACTAGAGAGGTGATGATAATATAAAATTTAGCCTTAGTTCACACATTTGAAAAGAGGGAAAATAGTAAGTTTGGGGGTGTGTGAATCTCACGAGTGATAATACATATATTTGACCATTCAGGGTTGGAAATAAAACAACTTGTGAATTCGTGATGTATGCTTAATTCTTCAAACGCACGTCAATTTCGTATTGGAAAAGTAAACTTCGGTTTCTATATTGTGATTTTGAAGCCGTGCTTAGATTTAATGCCATGATTTCAATTTTGGGAAAAACATTTACCGGGTCAGCTAGCTAAATATTCTTCCATGATTGCGTGTTTCTTGTAAAGTTAGGTTATAGTTTGTTTGAGTACAAACAAAGATTCAAGTTTGAGAGTTTTATAAGTGTAGTTTCTACACTTATTCGAGATCCTAGATGATGATACCTTTCTTTGGATAAAATACCATTTAACTTGTGTTATATTGCATTTTATAGGTAAAACTCAATGTTTAACGAAGAATTGAAGAAAAAAAAATGCAAAAATGGTGAAAAATTATAAAATCCAAAAGTCGGGGACTAAATTGAAAATAATCCATAGATGAGAATAGGGACAAAATGAAGATCGAAGATGTGAAAAATTTAATTGATACAATTGAAAGATAAATGAACAAGATTACAAGAGAAAATGACTGAAATAAAGTAAATTTAAAGTTCGGGGACTAAATTGCAAATACTCAAAAAGTTGTGTCAAACCTCCTACTAAACTATTTGATTGCTTGATCACCAATTAGATGTTATGTTTTTTGTTGCAGTGTCGGAATACTTACAATAAATCTAGAACGCGATACAATCTATACGTGGACAATATGTATTATGAATAATATATATGACATGTACAATTATGTGTGATAAATCATATGAATCAGTGCATGATTTTTATATGAATTTGGACTAGGAATATGATCGGATCGTGTTAAACATATGTTTAATATATTTTGAAAAAGAATATTGAATAAAAGTGGATTATCGATTATCTTGAATGCATGAATTTACTATATTATAAATTAAGAATTGAATTAAAAGGTAATAGGGGGATTTAAGATTCCAATACAAACAAACATTCACATATTAGATAAATATTTTATTTGATTTCTTAGGGTCCGTTTGATTGCAATGGTGGAAAATGGGTGGCAAGAAAATGTTTTACAGGGAATTGATTTTCCTAGAAAATGTTTTATTGGGAATTGTAATTAATTGTGTTTGATTGGTATAATTTTCCACGTGTAAAATTGTAAATGTTTGGTATCCGTTTGACTTCGTTTTTTATGAAAATTATTCATTAAAGTGATAATTTTTTTTACTATTGAGGCTAGAATTTGTTCTAATTGCCAAAAATTAAAAAAAAATTAAATTTTTTTTAAAAAAAATTACCATACTGAATGCCATTCGTTTGATTTTGTTTTATATGAAAATTGTCAATAAAAGTGATAATTTTTTTTACCATTATATCTAGAATTTTTTTCTATTGCCAAATAAAAAAAAAAAAAAAACCCATAAAGCTGGAAAACATAAACCCAGCAAAGCATTAGGAAAGTATTTTCAGCAAAAAGTAGGCAAATTGGCGCGTGGAGTGAAAAGGTAGAAAAGCAATGCCATGGAAAACTTTTGCTATCAAACATTGATTAAGGTTGGAAAATGAAAATATTTGGCTACTTCCATGGAAAACCAAGCCCATCAAACAGGGCCTTAGTTTAAGACTAGTATAGAAAACATACAAGCCATCTCTTTTGATATTACATGACTTCGAATTTGATAAAGGCTATTGAACTAGATATTAGACCTTATTTCTCGTGGAAATGATAAACTCGAAAATCACCGATTTCTATTACTGGTCAACGATCTCCGTACGCTTGCAGGTTTCAATTGAACAATGATAATCCAAGAAATACATAATTTTATGATCATGATCAGAAACATCAGAAATGAAGTTTGAGATCATATATTTCAGACGAAATAAAAAAAATTCCAAATAGACATGAAATTAAAGATATCAATAATGTGGACTTACGCAGTATCCACTCCGTTATTTATTGATCCATTCTTCCGCTCTTCTTCATCCATGGTATCACATAATGTCCTTCCCCTTGTTTCTGGCAGGAACACAACGAACAATCCACACACAGCTATTGTTATCCCGAACACCCCATATGAAAGCAACCTATTCTTTCTGCCGGCTGCCACTAATACCGGGCCACAAACCCCACCTAACATCATTGCCTGCCTCACCATTGACACAGATGAGTTTCTTACGCATGTCGGAAACAACTCTAATGTATAAATCAACACCAAATCCATTACAACGACCCCGCAGAAAAATGATACCAGTTCTAGTCCTATCTGCATTCCCTTCCACCTAACCAGCACACACGTTGCACTACAAATTCCACTCAATATAGTCAAACCCAATATTGAAAACTTCCTGCTCACGTTCCCAATAAGAAATAATATAAGCATGGAGGCTGGAATTTCCATAAATGCATTTAGTGCCACACTCAAATATAGATCAAATGCCAAGTTTTCAAGGCCTAATGGCATGCCAAAGGAAATCATGCCCGCTCCAAAGCCAACGACCATAACGGGTGCAAGTCGCCAAAAAACCCAAGATGTTTGAAACAAGATCTTTATTGCGGAGTAAAAGTTTGTTTCTTGCAATTTGTCTTCCCACTTAATGCACCTGTCGAAGAAGCTGTCAGTTAAGATAATCCGATTCCTGGGTGCAGCTATGCTTCTCAGTGTTTTGGCGAAATCTTCCTTCCGGCCCTTGATATAAAGCCATCGAGGAGATTCATAAGCTATAAAATACAATAATATAGAGTAAAATATTGCAGGAATGCAAGTCCACAGGTAGAGGCGTCTCCATGAGGAACCTCTGGTCATATAAGCAAGACCAGGTAAGGAAAGAAACCCTAGAGCAAAAACGTTGAATCCAAGGGTCCCAACATGTCCTCTCCATTTTTTCCCAACAAGTT